CAGGATGCCCATGAGCCAGCAATGGGCCCTTGTGGCCAAGAAGGCCAATGGCATCCTGGGGGGCATCAGGAAGAGTGTGAGCAGCAGGTGGAGGGAGGTCATCCTGCCCCTCTGCTCTGCCCTGGGGAGGCCCCATCTGGAGCACTGGGACCAGTTCTGGGCTCCCCAGTTCCAGAAGGACAGGGAACTGCTGGAGAGGGGACAGCAGAGGCTACAAAGATGATGAGGGACCTGGAGCATCTCTCTGCTGAGGAGAGGCTGAGGGACTTGGGGCTTTTTAGTCTGGAGAAGAGAAGGCTGAGGGGGGATCTGATCAACACCTATAAATACTGAAAGGGTGGGTGTCAGGAGGATGGGGCCAGGCTTTTTCCAGGGGTGCCCTGTGATAGGACAAGAGGAAATGGGCACAAACTTGAGTATAAGAAGTTCCATCTCAACATGAGGAGGAACTTCTTGACTTTGAGGGTGGCAGAGCCCTGGCAGAGGCTGCCCAGAGAGGTGGTGGAGTCTCCTTCTCTGGAGACATTCAAACCCCACCTGGCCACGTTCCTGTGGGACCTGCTCTGGGTGGTCTTCTGGGAGCTTCCCCCCTTCCCCAGCACGGTCTCTGCTCCTAACCCCCCCTTTTTTTTCCAATCCCCCCCTTCCAGATCCGGAACCCGCTGAAGCTCAAACGGGCCAAGAAGAAGCAGCTGCGGCGGGTGGAGAAGCGGGACACGCTGGCCCTGCTCCAGAAGACACCCGTGCGGCGCAAAGCGGCCACTGAGTGAGATGGGGCCACCAGCCCCGGGGGTTCTGTGGGTCCCCCTCCTCTCCAGGGACATTTCTTGGCCTCGGTGGGGAGGAGTCACTGCCCGGGGCCACCGGTGTTGGACAGACAGAAGGACAAAACTGCGGCGTGACCCTCAGGAACCTGCAGCTGGATGCCACCCCCCTGCCCTGTGAAATCCAGGGGGCTGGAAGAACTGCTTTACTTGCCCAAATCTGCTTTTTCTTGATAAAAATGAGTAGGAACTGACCCAAACTCACCTCCAACAGCTCGGGGGGGGCGCTGGGGCCTTCCCTCTCTCCAAAGCAGAGCTCCCATGGCCTTCCTGAGGTCACAGAGTGTGGTGGCCCCATGCCCCCCAAGACTCCCCTTCCTTCAAG